GAAAGAGGCCTGGTTTCAGAGGTAATTTAGGCTGGAAGGGACCCCTGGAAGTCATCTGGTCAAGTTGCACCCTCAAAGCAGGGCCAACTTCTTAGTTACATTAGGTTGTTTGAGGCCTTGTCCTCACACAGTACCTCATACAAACCTTTCTTCCCGTTCAGTAATTCCATCAACTAGTCAGTCCCCTACTAGCCTTGACAGTCTGAGGCGCTTCTACAATTCCCCTTTTCAGAATGCTTGAAAGCTATTAAATCTTATCCCTAGAGAATTAAGACCAGCTAAAAGCTAGGGCCAGGACACACACTATGCTGCCAGAAACGGAGACAACTGAAGGAACTGAAATATAGTTAAGACATTGGAGAAGCATCCGGAGCATATAGTTTGAATAATCTATCGCTTGGTCTCCACTGAGTGTAAAGAGGCCATAATAGTAAGTGTTTTGCAGAAAGGAAATGGAGGCAGCGAAGATCAGTGACTTCCCAGAGGCTATGGAAGGAGCGTTTGAAGATCACAAAAGAAAGGCACTAGAAGTAGGCTGAGTACTCAGGAGGTCGCCGGCACTGCAGAGCTGTCTCTGCTTTATACTTAGTATTCCTTGGGAGCCTCCGAGACTGATGGAAGTCATTTATTTTAATCAAATAAAATAAATTCTCTGGTTCAAAGTTCTTAGATCTTCCATTTCCCATTAATCTGGCAAAGATCTTCTGTCACTGTCCAAAGGCAGAACAGGAGACTTAATTTAGGGGCACCAATGGTAAATGATACATGGAGGTATGCAGTTGCTTAGTTACATTTCCCTTGCAGCTGTGATCTCTCAGGAGGGAAAAGGAGTGTAGGTCAATTGAGAAAGCAGCCTGCAAATGGCTTTGCAGCAAACCAATTGCCAGATTTGTTCAGTGAATGATAGATTCCAGGGACACAGCTACACACCAAGCTGAAAATATATGATGGGAGAAGACTACATGGGTAGTTAGATACCAATTTTCTGCCTGGTTTCCTGGACAATTGCATCAACTCCTCTCACGACCAGATTGGAGAGAGTGGTTTGAACTTTCCTTTTCGGCACTGCAGCTGCTGCACTAGGAAGAGGAAACAAATAAAATCAGAACATCAGTTTTTCCATGCTTAGAGCAGGAACAGGAGCTTAAACACTAATCTAGTGCTTCATTGAAGTGCCCAGTTGCCCTTTATTCAATCCAGCCTGGATTCTCTCTCCTGTGATTCATCTTCGGGAAGGACTGGGATCTAAATCCAAATCCCAGCACAATGTTTAGAGTCTCTCATTTCTTCCTCGGTTGAAATACATATTTCCTAAGCACTGAGAGAATACTAAACGTGTCACAGCTAAGCCTTGCTTATAGTTAGCTCCAAAGCTGCAGAGGGAGCTGGAACTGCTTCATTACTTTGGAGCTGCACAGGTTATCAGCTGGCAGAGGGAAGAGAATCAAAGCAGCATGCAGGCACAGGGCTTGATCCAGCTGTTTCTCAAGTCTTTGCACAGCTGTCTTCTTGGAGGCAGGCCCTCACCCCTCAAGGCTAGCATGAGATGCACATACATCTACTGACCTTGGTCACTTAATAATACACAGGATGTACTATTGTCTCTTTATTAACATATAGTGATACTCTATCATTTCAGTCAAGGAAGAGAACATGCTGAGCCTAGGATTAAAATGCAATGAGCCATGAAAAAATATGGTAAGGGAACAGCAGTGAAAAATACTATCTTGGAGATGCAAATGCTTGGGACCTCCTGATGAAGTTCATTTCATGTTCTGCAACAGAATACCATCTGGCTTCACAACACAGTGCTAATTTAGAGGTAGGAACACCCGCTGCCACATCCCAGTACTAGATCAAGGGCAAGAAGATGTGGTTGCAGTTTTCCTATCAAACACCAGCTCTGTTATCCTGTGAGACCTGGAGCATTACAGCAAACATGAGGCATTTATTCCTTTTTGATGAATGCACTTAAGCCAAAGTAAGCACTAACTGAATGGAACTTAAAGCTAGCTTCAGGCTCATTTGTGTAAGGAAGGGAAACTGTTCGAAGGCAGAGAACTGTGCCTTGGCCCAAGGGAAATAATTAGTTTATCTTACACTGAGGCTGCGTACGCTGCTGAAGAGACGCCTCCGTAGTAAAACCCATCCTGACATAGTCTCTCCTTCAAACTAGGATTTTTCCGAGCAACTTTTTTGGGTACACGGCCTCCAGAGAAGGTGGACTGCAAATCCGCCCGCTTTGAGCTGAGCTTCTTGTACTGGGATTGTACATGATACTGACAGTACTCACAGTCATTCTGAGTGAAAAGAAATGGGAGAGACCTGTTACAGGGCTCTAGCAATTACAATCTACTTCATTCCCCTCAACCAAGTTTTTCTTTTTGTAGCTAAACTTAAGTCACATCTCCATTGTAGCAATCCCGCAGCCACCCAACTCAGCAAACATGTCCGCAATCCAGTAATGAAAAAGCAAAGTTAAAACTGCACATGCTAATGACCGTAAAAAAGTAAAGCCCTGTGCACTGAGGACCTCCCATTCCAGGAGTCTGAAGGCCACTCCTGGGCTCAGGTCAACTGATGTTCCAAGTCCTCTTGCTAGATTCTTGCTAGCACAGGTAAGTGCTTCATGCTTCTGAACTGTATATAATTTTCTTACTGGTATAATCACAAAGGAAAACTAGCGCCAGAGTAAGGCATTTCATGCACTTCAAATTAAACAGGTTTCAGTATCAATCCACAGGGCTTTGGAATTGAAGGTAGTGAGCCTGTCTGTCAGAGACAGCAGTACCATAAAAGCATTCATTCAGCGTGTTCTTTAACTTTGTACTTTACAAAAAGAGATTACTCAATTCTCTTGTCAGGTATTCATCTGCCCCAGAGTCATATAATGACGATAAACTCATTATCAAACATTTTCTGTTACTAAGCAAACAGGCAGGCGATTCCTTCAGGAGGTCTTTCTACCAGACAGCCTCCAACCACCATGGCTTGTTCCAGGTGACGCCAGCACATCTCCCTGACATTGAGAAATCAGTGCACAGGCACCTCCTGGAGTGCATCTGCAATCACAGTCCTGTTTTGCCACAAGTAGCTTTTGTATCTGTCCTCTTTCCACTCCAGGTACGCTCTAGCTCCTCCCCAGTTTTTCATTTCTTCATCTTCTTTCCTCCTTCCAACTGCTGCCCTACTAACAACAGCCCTTCCAACTCAGATATAGTTCCTTTCACATATCATAATATCACCATAGTCAGGAAGGGATACTTTCAATGGAGTTCCACGAGAACTTTGAACAAGTATACTCGTTTACAGTATAAATTATTTTTAACTATAGTTACAGTTACTAGAACAAAGCAGTGCTGTCGTCAAAAGAAGAAACCCACCATCTTTCCTCTGCTTGCTCCTACCTCTCTGCCAACCTCCTCTCCAGTCCCCCACATGCAAGTACCAATATTCTGGCAGCTTGTGGGCACACTGGACCCGGGAACTCAGCGTGGTTAAAATCATCTCCAAAAAACACAACCATTCCCCCAAGAAAAATATTCCATTTGCTTTACCTTGGATGAGTTCCCCAGTGCAGTGCATGGAAGCTGGTACTTGCACAAAGGAATGAGAAAGGGTGTGGAGAGGGGGACAGTTACGGATGAAGACCATCTCCTTCCACTGTAGCCCCACCTTTGCATTTAGGGAACTACAGTGCAGCTACAGACACCTCTCCACTCGGTTTCACTTCTAAGTTTTTCAATACACTTAAATTAGTTACAAGTCAAGACACAGAAACTAGTCAAAGAGTAAAAGCATCAGTACAAAAGCAGCAGCCAGATTAAGGATGTTGTAACTACTGAGATACAGACCAAGTTCACAATCTGTGCACAGGGATCACCATTCTTCTTCCTGGCTTTGCAGGTCCCCATGTCCAGGGCTTCACCCATGAGAAGGATTTTCTGGGGATGGTCAACAGACAAACACACCTAGAAAGAAATAAGAACAAGGCTTGATGAGGACTGAATGGGCTTCTCTCCAGACGTCACTTGCTTGGCTCTGGTTCAGTTTGGTATCAACCAAAAGTCACTCACTGGCCAAGCACTAGTATTTGACCCTCTGGGAGCCTAGAGGCATCTCAAGAAATTTCTAGCCAAACTTCACAGCACCAACCCTCATGCAATGGAGCAGCAGTCAGCAGTCTCCACAAGGTAGCAAAAGGACAAAAGTTCTCTCAGCCTGGGCACATTTCCAACCTCAGTGTTGGTATCCTGGCACTAAAAGTCACTAACTCAAAGGTTTCCAGGGGCTGACTGATGGCTTAGGCCAGTAACAAGGGCAAGGAGGCTCACGGCAGGCCTCGTACCAGTGCTGTCCCATGCATTCCTCAGAGTGGACACAGCCACACAGCTCCGGAGAAGGAGCCTGCCCAAAAGCCACTCATCTGCAAAAGCTGTGCCCAAGGATAACTACCAGAAAAAACACAGGGCTCTGATTTAACAGCAATTTAAAATGCAAAGGCCTAGTTTAAGAAAGCCACATGTCCTGCTCAGGTTGGGAAGAGGCTCTGCTAAAAAGAAAAAAGAGAGAAATTTTTGGCAGAAGATTTGTTTACAAAGAAATGAAGAAAAGCGCATTGCATTTCTATACCCAGAGCCTCAGAAAAACAAGGATCAGCAAAGGCAGATCTAGCTGTGCTGTGAATGATGGTTTGGCTCTGACTCCTCAGCAACGTGACTGGGGATGGGAAGAGGAGACTAGAGCTCCTGTCCCTCTCCGTCTGTCTGTGTCCAGTCAGAAATGACTCCTGTGGTACAGCAACCGCTTCATCTTCAGATGTAGGTAAGAAATAGTTTGAGCAAACAGTTTTAACGTAGCTCTGAATTTGTACTTTTTAGTTAAAAAGAGCCATTCTTGTCAGTGACAACTAAGTACAGCCCTTAAATTAAATCTGGTATGCCTTTCTACTTACCAATAGAACTTTCTACTGCTTATTCCTGTTAATTTAAGCAATTACATCGCTTAATAGACAGAGATTCTTTATTTTTCCATTTGGAGGATTTAAAATACAAAACAGTACATCGTCATTTACTAGACTAAAATTCCTCTTGATAGGAGTCAGTAAAAAACGTTTCCATTCCAGTGCAACTTAAAAGATACTAAAAAAATTAATTTATTGGCAAAATGAAGCCATCTTAAATGTTTTGATACATAAGGAAAAGCAATGCTTCATGTTCTGCATTTAAAACAATTCATTCAACAACTGAAGTACTAGTTATTAAGTTAAGATACATAACACATCCTTTGTTTAATAAATCAAACATTGCTTTTTCTCTTCTAAGTCATGATTTTAGAACCAGGAACCCTTTTCCAATCACATCTCATACTTAAACAGGAAAAGAGAAATGAGCTTCCCTACCTTTTTCAGCTCTCAAAGTTGAGAGACCTTTTAGCTGAACGAGGTATTGCACTGAAGTGGCTGAAAAAACGGCAGTGAAAATGCATTCTCTTCACCTGCAGAACAGCTGATGGCTACTGAGAGGTTAACCACTTCAATAAATGCTAGTTTTAGCCGCATAATGGGACTTCTTGAAGTTCAGCCTTTCAAAAGGCCAGGAGCAAATATACACTACATGAATATTTGAGTGAAATTTAAACTAGTTTGGCCGATTGCTACAATTTCAGCCTTAACGTGTGTTATAAAGCTAAATCTCAAGCAGATATGAAAAAGTTCAGGCATGGATTTTTATCCACGGCTGATGCGCAAGTGAAAAATCCTCTCACCTCATCTGAGCCCTCTTTAGGTTTCATAAGATTAGCATTGAGCAGCCCAATGACTGTGCCTTGATCGGTCTTCCAGTGCTCTTTGTGGACATCACCAAACAAGAACAGTGAGACACATTGATTGAGATCCCGTAGGTCATTCAGCCGCCAAATACTGAAGGTTCTGCCCTGTAACAGACATCCACTTTCCTTTTAGCTCTTGATAAGGGGACACTGATTACATCCCCTTTTGCTGTTGCTTTAAAAGAGTTTTTTTTTTTTTTTTATTCCTGGAGTCTCCTGCTTTAGAAAAGCACATGGTAACCCCAGTGGGGTTACGTACAATATGTACAGCCATGCCACACCTTCAGCCAGCTCTGAGCTTCTTATAGGCCAAAACAGCACACTAACAGCACCAGCAAAAGCAGCTGTAGGAGTTGTAATAGATACTGCTGCTGTCACCAGTCTTGCTGATATTAACAGCCAGGCAGCACTCCTGCTTACCGAATACAGGTTTTAACCCCACTGAACAAATGAAACCAAGGCATTTCCAGATCTCTGTTTAATAAATTACTTTCTATAGGACATGTACAACTTCTAGGGCAGAATGACTTCTAGGGAAATGAGGGAAGCAGAATTTGTTGGCACATTTAGAACAAGAGATCTTTCACTGTCTCGAAAGAGATTGAGGATCACAGTCCTTTCTCTTACACTGGCGTTTAACGTGTAACAGTGGATTCATAGATTTAGAGATTTATGCCGTGGTCAAACTTCTTATAGTAATGCCCAGGACAGTAGCACCCGATCAGCTAACAACTTAAACTGAAGACTGAAGCCAGCATCACTGCATGAACCCAGATGAGCCAAGATATTTAAAAGAATAGCTTTTCATTAATTAGATGGAGTTGGCTGATGAAGCTAAAAATCTAATCAGTTTCTCAGGAAAGCAGACCAGCAATTCACTGGTTCTGAGCAAGGGATACAAGGAAGTTACTTACATTATTTGAGCTCTGAGGAGTGACCTTCTTTACTATGACTCCAAACGTTACCCAGTCTGTTTCCTCCAGATTTTCTGAAGCAAGTTTGCTCTTTATTTGAGACAGTCTGATTAGCTTCCGGTTAGCCATTTTCCTGTCCATTTCAGCTGACGAAACCCGGGGTTTTCTACATCAAGTGAAAGTGTGTAAGAGAGAAGACATCCCTTGGCATAAATGGACAGAGCCAATGAACAACATCTAGCACAGCAAAAATGCCTTTAAGTTCCTCAAGCTATAGCTGGCAACTGGCATCTATCCATCCTCCACCACTATAAGATACTCCTTGCAGCATCCCTTACTGCTCTGTGCCTGAGGACCACAGCATTCTCCTGAGGAGATTATGTCTCACTGCAAAATGCCTCTGCAGCTTAATTCACCCTGAGATAACTTGAAATAAAAGCCCTCAGTTCAGGACACTGTACAAATATCAGAAAGCTATTGATCATACATTTTGTTCTTTTTCCAAATACCTGCACAGCTTCACCCTGAGCCTGCATTAACTCTGTTCATTTCAGAAAGGACTGAATACTGTGACTGTCTGAGCAAGGGTTTGAAATCCAGCATGGTTTCTTAAGATGACAGACACCATAAGCACTCAGAGACCTCTTGCGGCCACGTCAGGTATGAGGAATTTCAAGCGGCTCCCAAGGGTACGTTTTGCTCTAATGTGCACAGAAAAAAGCACACAGAAACATGGTAATAAGCCAAGTCACTGTTACCTATTTACTGACCACCCAGTCAACTCCATGGCTTTATGCTACATCCCCTGGTCATGATCAACTAATTTGACACAGTTAAACAATGTGCAAATATAGCTAAACAGAAATCCAGTCCTCCGCTCACCACTTGTGTAACCAGTATCACAGGATGATGTTGGACTGATTGCACTCTCTCTCTCACTCTCTGAGGGTGGTCCCCAGACAGAGTTCAGTGCCAGGCTGCTGACCTTAATCTCAGTCCAGAAAAGGTTTCCACAGACACTGGCTGAGCTGTTGTGTTGGAGCAAGCGGGCACGTGAGGAGTCTTTTCTCTTGTCACTTTACTGGGTGTGTTCCCTGGGGCAGACTTGAGAGGCTGGAACGCCAAACTGAGAACTTGCTGTGGAGGAGGAGTCTTGGTCTCTTTAGCAGGAGAAAACGGGGAAAAAGTTTTGATAATGAAAGAAAATTTCCAAATAAAAAATAACACTAACTTACACCTAACCAGGCACAGGAGTCTAATACAGTTAAGCATTAAGTTCTCCTAGTCAGCTAGGAACTCACAGCTCCAGATTAGTTGCCTGTAACTCAAGCAATAAGTTCTACCCAGAGATGAGCTTCCCAGAGTAGCTCTCATTTTCCGAGTAAGCTAAACTGCAGCATAAATAGATGCAAACTACAGTGCTGTCAGCAACCAACTTTGCCACAGCGGTATAGAGCATAGCACCTACTGCAAAGAACACAATAATCAACTCTGCAATGAGCTCTGCTCTGCTGTGACCAGATTGCTACTGCTGCACTGGCTCATGTAAAACTTGTCTGGATGTGTCTACACTGCTGCTGTGAACTATATACACTTTTGGACAAAAACTCAGCAAGTGTTTAGTGAAAGGAAGACTGAGAATGGTACCTGCTGGGAACGTTTTTGATTTCTGGATTCTTCGCTTGGCTGCTGGTAAAGGACTGCCCAGCTGGGCAGAGAAACACGGTGACTCCTGTAGCTTCTGAACTTTCCTTTCCTTTAAGGGATGACAGAGCGATTTACCTGGCCGACAAAAGCAAAAGTATTTTATGAGAACTCAGTATCTGGACTCAAACACTAAGAATTGCTCCAAACTAAATAGTTCCTTGAATAACAAGTCCAAGTCACGGTCCCACATGGAAACCCTTCCACAGATTTGCCAGCGTTTGAAATACAACAGCTGGAAAAGCCTCAATGGCTCTTCCCTGTGATGACTCAAAACTCTGGATGTCCCTGAAACTACAGGCTGCGGAAAGCAGGAACATCCCCTGCTTTTCAGTTTTGCGATTTTTCTCACCTGGCTTCATTACTTCCACACCCACTGTGTTGCAATAACAAACATAGCTGTATTAGATTCTAAGAGTACCAACATCTGCCAGTAAGAAGGGACACTTCCAGCAGAAAAGCTTGGAGCTCTTTATTCACAAAAGATGTCCCATGTAGTGTCAACCCACAATACAGACACCAAAACTGCAGCTCACTGATTTAGTGCATTGTCACAGCAGTCCGTAGCCGCAGGAAACAGAAAGTCTGCAAGAGAATACACCAGACTACCATCCCTCCTTACTACTCAATGCCCACTTTAGGATTATCCGGAGTCCTGCCTATAAACTGCACGTGGGGAGCCAAGCAAATTAGAAAATCATTTAATTAGTCTCATTACCAGGGGTTTTCTTCTCAAGCTCTGAATTGGATGGCTGCCCAATAGCAGTCTTTTGCAACTGCTCCTGTAATGTCTTCATCTGTTCTTGCAGTTTTCTCAGTTCAGCTAGGAAAGAAAGGGGAATAAAGAAGAAGAATAAAGAAGACAGCAGGAAGTCATCGCAAACAGGGATTTATGAGATCCCTAGAAGTTTGGCAGTTTCTCTACATCATAGGAATTTAGAAGAGAACTAGAGCCAGAATACAGACCAAGTTTTGATTCTAGATAGCTCAGTGAAGAGACACTTTCCAAAATAGCCAGGAGCTGATTTCTCTCATATAAATATTTTACTTCTTCATAGCACATTGCTTGCCATGTTGTATTCATCTTTGCTACTGAGCATAAGACAATTTAAATGATTGATGATTGCACTCTTTAGCATAAAGAAGTGATTCCAGTACAATGAAATGTATTCTCTGTGTGGTCTGGGCACCCAGGAAGGCTCTGCTGGCATGGCAGAACCTCCTGTGCAGCCGCAGAGATGTTTGACAGAACAAAGCTGAACCTGGAATCTCATCAATATTGCCTCTCCCTGAAACAGGTTCACAGTTTGAGTCTGAGTAAAAGCGGCTGTTGGATACAAGATAGGAGGAACACTTGCCTTGAGGTGCAGGTCAGTCAACATTTATGCCATTGCTTTATAAAGGGCTTTGGAGTTGGGATGCGGGAAGCATAAAGCCATGTCTGGTGGTTCTCCGTGTCTGGGAACAACCACATCACTTTGCTAGGCCATGATACCAGGAGGTCTTCCCCCACCCCCATATCACCTGACAGTAATCTCTCATGAAGCTTCGGCTTACAAACCCCACCTCCTAAGCACATCGGAGGCATCACACTGTTATTGCTGATTAAAAATGAACTATGTTCCTGTAACAGAAATGGCCAAAAGAGGAGCTCTAGAAACTAGAAAAACTGAGGTACTGTGAGAGCAATGCAAAACGAGTTTGGGGAACCACTAAAGCCTTGAATGTCCAGAAATCCCTCTGATCTTCCTGTCTAGGCAGCAAAGCCAACAGCTCTGACTTGACCCCTAAGAATCCCTTTCAGTCAAGGGCAGGGACAAAGATCCCCAGGACACAGTTCTGATAAACCACAAGTGGTTTAAGATCATTGAAAGGGGAAGGGAGAGTTGTGCTAGTAAAAGATGCCAGAACGACAGCCCTGAAGACAGAAGCAACACTGCTATTCAACAGACAAGGTACAGGTACATAGGTAGCGATCTCCATCCTGCTCACTAGAGCAAGTTCAGTCTCCCTGGCTTACTCAATCCTCTGTCTGCCTTTTGGCATGATACGGATAGCAAGTTTTGCCAAGTGAGCAGTGAAAACTGGATGTAAACTGCTCTATCCAATATTTTTCACAAGGAAAGTCAATATATTCCCCATCAGAGCATCAGCTGATCTAAACTGAGTAGCTCTAGGCCCTACCTTCTGCTCAATTGTTCTCTAGAAATGATACATAGAACAAATCAGACAAAATACGCTTTTACAGAAACCTTGCAATTCTTGGTTGGTTTTCTCTTTCGCCTGACTAGGAGCTGAAGTGGGGACAGTTTCTTCCTCCTCCTCTTCTTCCAGTAGGTCATCCACATCTCCAAACAACGCAGCCAAATTCTCCTTCTGCTCATCGACCACGCTATCCTCAGCATCAGTTTCCTCAGTGTAGGATGCATCATCCTCTGCATCGAAGAGCTTGTCATATTCATCTGGTTCTCCTCCCTCGTCCTCTGGGGCGTCTTCCTCCTCAGGACAATTCTCCTCCTCGGCTGCCTCACTTTCTTCCAGGAGGGAGGCTAACAGATCCAAGTCATCATCAGCTGAGGTCAAAATTAAACTCAGAGTTACTTCTGTTCTGCTAGAGAAAAGCTGCCATGGAATAAAACAGCCAAGATACTATATTAACCAGCTAATAAAAACCAAAACTAAAATAGAGCAGCAAGGACTTTTTGAAAAAACGGTTTCAACTGGCTAAAGGAAGATAAAGGAGCTTCCTGCTATCTGGCCAAATGGAAAAGTGGTTTCAGACACTCTCAGCTTCTGATCCAGGCTGGTGGTCAGCAGAAAGCTTGTAGGACACTTAGTGCTGGCTCTTCCTCCCAGGCAGCTGTTTGTACAACAGCTTCTGTTACAATGAAAAGCGTGGCGACCTGTAAAGCAATAGCCAGGATCTCTGCAGAGACACCACGTGGCTTTCACCAACAGAAACTGAAGAGAAAGACGCAAGGCAGGCAAGGAAGTGTGTCCTCAGATACGCTTTGCTCAAGGAAAAGACCAGAGCAGCAAACAGAGTAAACGGATAGATAACGGAAAAAAAATCAAGCACAGAGAGGAATGGAACAGATAGAGCAGAACTGAAATTCAGAGCACAGCAAGCAATGTTCAGCCTTTGCTGCTGAAGAAAATACAAAACCAGGCAAGCGTCAGAGCAGCCTCAGAAGGAGATGACACTGATGAAGGTAAGGGGCAACCTCAAAGGCTTCTGTGAGTGAAAACAGTACAGCATAATTTCCACTGCTAAAAACTTGGTCAAGTTTTATGAATATGTGAACTTAGAAACTAACTAATCTATTGGTCAGCAGCCAACAGTAGGAAAGTAAAAGAACTTACCATCCATGATTTCACCAGAATTTCTTCAAGAGTCCCCCAAGGAAAAATATTCTCTGTTAAAGGGAGAACAAAATCAACATTGTTAAAATGGATATAGAGATCAAGTAAGGATCCAGGAGGTCAGGCTCCTTATTTGGTGATTTGTAAGCTACTAGCTTGTTTTTGCTTACAGCTGCAGATGAGAACTCTGCTAAACTTAAACTCCCCATGTACACTTTCTACATCTGAAGTCAATCTCTGCTGGACTCACTGCAGCACAAGGGCATTACTTTTAGAAATAAGCCCCATCACTGCTAGAAATTTTAAGAAATGCCTATCATGTTCCAGATAACAAACATTTCAACCTCACCAGTCCTGCACCGTAATCATAATTTGCATTTAACTAAAGCAAGCCATCCAAAAAGGGCTCAGTTTTCATTCGAAAATGTTGGGAGACAGCAAAACCTTGGCTCCTTCTTCCAACACGGTTCTTATTCTTAAAAACGTACATTCTACATTTGTTACAGCTCTTTCATTCCCCAGCCTAAAAGTAGCAGATATGTACATATGCCAGTGAAAAATAATCCACACAGATAGACGTAAAGGATAAAGGGAAGACTGGATAACGAGAAGAGAAATCCAGGTGATGGTTCGCATGAGATTTTACTGTGTGACATGAGATATACATCCAGCTACCAACCTGCAAACAGTTTAAGGCTGGGAGACCAGAGGGGGTATACATAAATACGTGCCTACCCTGCTCTTCTTCTCTTCATAATGTTACAGCTATGCCACTGTTCTTACTAATTCTCATCCCTGCTGGAGACCAGATGGCTGGATGGACCCACGGTCTGTCCCTATACAACCATTCTTTAGTGGCTCTTGAGGAGAACCTAACATCAGTATCAGCACTGGGTAAAAAAATGTTACTTAATAACAAACCGTATCTCTTTGAATCTTTACAGCAGGGACCACATGGAAGGAGCTAATCTGTGTGCTGTGCCAAAGAGCGAGCCCCAAATACATCTAAGAAAAACAGAAAGGGTTTCTGTCCCTGGCAGACTGTAATAGATTTGAGATACTGCAAGAACCAACTCTGAATCAGAGAGCAGAAGAGTGAACAAGAAGCGCGAGAGCAAAATAAATTGATGCTATGTAGAGTTCGTAATGTGAGGCACGTCTTCATAGCATGGATGCCCCGCCTGCCATATGCATGTTTGTGACATGCACAGACTTAAGATAACCTACAGACCTTTCAACCAATTCCTGAGTGTTAAGAAATGACCACAGCACTGGAAAAGTAAAATGATAGTAAGAGATGTGAAACTAGATCTCCAGCAAAGCTTTCTTTCAATGAATTTTCACAAGACCCAGAAGAGAGGCTGGATGTTGGAAACAACCTTTTATTTACACTATCCACAGCTGCAGCAAAATACGCAAACTAAGAGTTTTAGAAGAGCTAAATCTTCATGCTACCAGTTTTAAATCTGGCTAGATCCTTGATTAACACAAAAAGTTCCCAGGTCATGTCATACAACTGGCCAGAGCAGGGATTTTGTCCTTGTGAATTATGTTAGTCCATAGCTCCTCATGCAACAGCTAGCACCCGGCAGGGAGCAGCGCCTTTTGACTGTTCCAGGACACAGCCGAGTCACATAAGTCCACCAAGAGCTGCTCAGGAAGTTAAACCAGTAGGAAAGTAGCCTTAAAAAAAAAAAGCTCTTCATTTTTTGTCATTTTTGGCTTTCTGAACTGACTCACCAGGGAAGGGCAGCCAGGAGGCAGGACCGTGCCCTTTGGTTAGATGAGCTCAGGGTACGGCAGAGCTGCACCCGAGGGGACGGCCGCTCTTGGAGTGCAGCTCCGGAGAGGCCTCCTGGAGCAGCGTCTTCCTCACCTTCACCCAGGCACTAGCTGGCACAGGTGGGCAAGGGCAAAGGGAGCTGGATTTGCTCTCCTATAAGGCCGTCGCTCTGCAACCGCGAGGTTTGCGCCCTCTCTCGCTGCTCACAAACCTGAACGCTAACCACGGGGCTTGCTGCCTTTCCTGCTGCAGGGGTTTTTGTTCAGCTCGTGCATTACACCTTTCATATTTTTCTCTTGTTTATTACTCCAGATTATTTATTTTCAGCAAAGAAAAGGACTCTCCAGCCCTGCTCCCAGGGGATCCCTGATTCTGCCCCCTGATCCCGGCGATCCACCGCAGCTCCCCTTGGCCAGGGGATCCCTAGCGTTCTTCTTCCTGCCTGGAAATCCCTGCTCCCCCCTCCAACGCAGCAGCCTGCCCCCACCCAGGGGAACCCTGATCACCCGCATCCCGTCTCCTTCCCAGTGGATCTCCAAGCCCTCCCTTACTCCCCAACCAGGATCTCCCCCTCTGTTCCCAGGGGATGCCCTCCCAGGCTCCCAGGGGAACCTGATCCCTTCCACCCCCTCCTCCAGGCAATCCTTGATCCTTCCCATCCTCAAACCCAGGGGATCCCTGACCCTTTCCATCTTCGAACCCAACAGATCCCCTTTGGGGCTCTCAGGGAGTCCCTGATCCCTTCCACTCTTCCCCCAGGGGATCCCCTTTGGGGGTCCAAGGGGATCCCTGAGCCCTCCCACCCCCCAGGGGATCCCTTCTGCTGTTCCCCTGCTGGCATCCCTTCCCCAACACCACCCCCCAGCTGCCTAGGGGATCCCTGATCCCTTCCACCACCCCCCAGGGGATCCCCTCCTCCACACCCCCCACCCGGGGGATCCCTGCTCCTTTCCCTCCCCCT